CTCAGGAACCGTGAGATCATGACCTGAGCCAAAATCAAGAGTCAACGCTTATCCGACTGAGCCACCCAGGCGCACCTAAAAATTATTTTTAAAATATTTTCATTTTAATGCTATCTTTTGAGGAACAAAGTTCATAATTTTTATGCAGCCCTATTTATTCTTTTCCTTTTTAGTAAATTCTTTAAGTGTTTTGTTTATAAGATATTTGCCTACCCAAAGGTTATAGAAAGATCTGGGTTTTTTTCCCTAAAGTTTTAGTAATCGATCTTTAAAAAATGTAACAGGCTCACAAGGAAAACACACAAAGTAATCAATACAATGTTTTTGGTTCAGTTAAGGGTGGAAAAAAATGCATGATACACATACACAAGTTCTGCTAAAAGTTTTAAGTGTCCATCTTATTAAAATACACAATCACCAAACGATCAGGTTCACGTTGACTTCTACTCTTGGAAAGAGGTCAATCATTTACTACAGATATTCTACAAGGGGCAACTGTTTGTGGAAACGCAATAGATTCCATTTATTTTTAACTTGGGACTTAGCAGGTGCTTTACATGTGCTATTTCTCTTAATGCACACGACAGTCGGAGAACAGAAGTGTCACGATCTAGGCAGGTGACGCTCCGTGAGAGGAAGCAACGGGCTCCGAGCCAGTGCGCTTGGACTCAAACAGGACACCGGAGGCTTCTGCTGTTAGTGCCTCCCATTCTAACAGAGAGGAAACGGATCCTAGGTCAAACGCTGGGCAGCCTGGCTGCACGTTCATGCTGTTAACGTCCAGCATCCCGATGCTGATGCTGACGATGCCTCAACGGACAAGGGCCACTCAGGATCTGACAGAAATTGCGATAAGCATTTGACCCACGGGCTTCTTTCAGTCAGCACCAGCCCTGAGAGGAGCAGAGAGAACGTGGGCCCTGCACTGGGGCTGCCTGGGCTGGGCGTCTGGCTCCGTGGCCCTCCCACACCTCGGTGTCCTCACCAGCCCTCAGAAAGTTTATATGCAATATATGCTCAAATTCATACAGCAAATACACAGGTATCTACAAGATGGCAGTAAAAGTGACACAGACAAATAGGCACGGTGAGGGGAATGACATGTGATAAAGTATTATTTTGCAAAGGGTGACCAGCAAAGGACACTCAGATTCAAAGACATCTTAATGAAGATCTGAAGGGAGGAAGGGAGTCATGCAATCACGTGCAGGGACAGGAGTTCTAATATGATGGAAGGGGGTGCACGAAGGCCCTGAGGCTGGAGGATGTGTGGGAAGGCAGACGCAGCTGGGCCCGCTGGGCGCAAGCCGTGAGTAGAAGGGCAGGACCGGGAGGTGGCAGATCACGGAGGACCCTGCACGGCGTGCTTGTGGGGCTCGGAGCACCGTGAGCACAGCAGTTGAGTCACAGGACATCTATTTCTCTGACCAGGCAGGCGACAGTGTGTAGGACCGGCCAGGGGACCCGGGGGAAGAAGCAGGAGGCCCGGAGGCGAGTGCAGCACTCTGGCTGAAAAGGAAGGGCCTTCTGTTTTCACCGGTGGGGAAAGAGTTTCAGGGACTCGGGTAACGGGCCGAGGTCCCAGGGCTACGAAGAAGCAGACGGGGATCCCTCTACAGCAGTCCATGCAGGAATGCCCCAAAGCAGAACGAAACTGCTAGAAGGCACTGGCGGCTCCGAAACCAGAGAGACGCCCACTGCTCTTACTCTGTTGAGGCCAGCAAGCTCATCAGGTTGCCAGGCGGATTCTGACCACTGCTTTACTGCGCCCGCCCAGCACACCCGCCCCACGGCCCTGACGATGCGCGCGCACGGCCCAGCACACCCGCCCCACGGCCCTGCTGACGACCCGCAGCCCAGCACACCTACCCCAAGGTCCTGACTACGTGCAGCCCAGCATACCTGCCCCACGGCCCTGACCACGCGCAGGCCAGCACACCTGCCCCACGGCCCTGCTGAGACTGCCCAAGGTCTCCTGATGTAATGGCATCCCTTCACTCCGCCTCTGTCCTTAAACCACAGGGCCCAACACCCACAGCCGACTGGCCCATGAGTTCCGACATCCCTACTCCCATCTCTTCTGTGAAACTCACCTCTTTCCCGACCCTCCTGCCACTACTCTAAGAGACTGGCTGCATCCCGAGACACATCTCCATTATTCTGCTATATGCCACTCCATGGACCTCCGAAGAGCAGCTAAATATAACATGCCCCAAATAAAATCATCTTTTTTCCGCTTCTCCTAAGTAATAATTTCCTATGAAGGCCACTGACACTAACCTCCCCTCAGTCTTACCACCAACAATGAGCACCAAGATACCCACAAGCTAACCAAGTAATGGTGAGGAGGAGTGGGAAGTGTTTGGAGAAAGAATCTGTTAAGCTTGATACTGAGAAAGGTTAGCCTGTCTGTGTGTAGTGACACAAAGTACAATTTCCAGAAACAACACAGATATCGTAAGCTCTTTCTTACAACACACTTCCAATTTAAAAATCCTCAAAGGGGGGGCACCTGGGTGGCTCAGTCGGTTGGGCGTCTGACTTTGGCTCAGGTCATGATCTTGCAATTGACAAGTTTGAGCCCCGCATCGGGCTCTGTGCTGACAGCTCAGAGCCTGGAGCCTGCTTCGGATTCTGGGTCTCCCTCTCTCCCTCCCCTCTTCCACTTGTGCGCTCTCTCTCTCTCTCTCTCAAAAATAAATGAACATTAAAAACAATGCTTAAAAAAATTCTCAAAGGAAGTACAGGAATAGAAATTCATCCTTAGACAAAAATTATAGCAGTAATAGCTGTGAGAAAGAATCATCAACGATATCGAGAATACAGGGTAAAAATACAATGAGAAACAGTATCCGCAGAGTCTCAATCTATCTCCCCAGAAGAGTATTTCTTAATTTCAGAGGAAAAAACAGCAACTTTACAGTGGGGAAACCTGGCCACCACCTTAAACCAAACGATCCCAGTTAAAAGCACCTGTAAAAAGGAGTCACATGCTGACAGGATGCAGTGAGACGGGTACAAAAGCTTAGAATTCTGGCCCAAAACACATAACCTCAATATAACCATGAAAAAAGCCCTAGATGAACCTCAATTGAAGGACACGGTACAAATAACCAGCCAGGATTCTTCAAAAGTGTCAGGGTCAGGAAGGACATAGAGAGACTGAGGAACTGTCCCAGATTAGAGGAGACTCGAGGAGTCAGAACAGCAAAGTGGTTCCTGGACCAGAAAAGGGATGTTATGTGGGACAACCGTGAAATTTGAGTGACATGTGTAGATTAGTTAAGTAAGACTCTATCAATGTTTATTTTCTGGCTTCAGTGCCAACTACTGTACTATGGTCACGAAAGTTCCAACATTTAGGGAAGCTAGGTGAAGGCACACAGGCCTTAACTATTCTTGCAACTTTGGATACGT